TCCAAAGCGACTTACAAATGAGGACAATGGAAGCAATCAAAATCAACAAAAGAGCAATGATGTGCAAGCATGTTTGCTGATAAGATGTGCTTGACAGATTGTGGTATGGAAACTTGTGCACTGATGGTTTTCATTTTATTAATGAAGAATGGGGCAAAGTCGTCAGCTGTTGAAGTTGATGAAGGAGGGGGAGGAGGAGGACAAAGGAGGGAGGAAAATGTTTTAAATTTTTTTTTTAATCGTATAATAAATAAAAAGAAAACCGATAGAATAGAAAAAGAATAGAGCAAGCTAGTGTTAGAGAGGCCTTTTTTGCTTTTGTTAATCAGAAGTCAGAAAGTCAGAATTATAATTGTATAATAAATAAAAAGAAAACAAATATATAGAATGCAAAAAGATTAGAGAAGCAAGTGTTATTTTTATTTATTTATTTATTTTTAAGAAAACAAATTAGTAAATAAAAGTGCAAGTCTAAAAGGGGCAAGTTTTTTTTATTTTTTATAAAGAATAGAATTAGAATAGAGAGTGCTAGGGTTAGAGGATCAAATAAAGATGGAAGAGATGTGTTTTTAGCCGATTCTTGAAGAATGCTTTGATTTGCGCCACAACCTTTCAGCATCCCTGAGCTTAGAACGATGCTCGCGGAGAACATCAGACAGCCAAGTGGCAGAAGGAGTGGTACGGCCTGGCCTGGAAGACAAGGGGCAGACACTGTCTAAACAAGATGTAAGAGTGGAGCAGAAAGTATCAGTAGCACTTTGGTTGCCTGATTTGTGAGTAGCCGTAGTTAACACTCTCTTGAGATCAAAAGAGGCAAGCAGAGTGTGGAAGTCTGCAGCCTGAGGTTTATCTAGGTGGATGTTGAAGTCTCCAAGCATAACTAGGGGAGTACCATCCTCAGGAAAGGTTGAGAGCAGCACATCTTTCATCCAAGAAGTTACCTTGTGGTCCTGGGGGTCGATAAACAACTACAAAATGGATTTTAAAAGGGTGGGTAATAGTGACTGAATGTGATTCAAAGGACATGCTAATACCCAGAGAAGGTAAAGGAATAAATTTCCAATCATTAGAGATAAGCAGACCAGTACCTCCACCTCTTCCAGTTAGACGGGGAGTGTGGGAAAATGAGAAATTATTGGAGAGTGCTGCAGGATTAGCAGTATCCTCTGGTTTGATCCATGTCTCTGTCAGGGCCATGAGGTTTAGTCTTGAATGACTAGAAATAGATATAATTAAATCTGCTTTGTTTACTGCAGACTGACAATTCCAGAGACCAATAGAAAAAGAAAGTAGTGCATTAGCAGGCAAAGTGCACAGGTTGTTAGGATTGCACTGCCTATTGTGTGTGATGCGTGGTTTGCGAGTAGGAGTAATAGTAGGGATATGGAAACACATAGTAAGAGTTAGTCATAAAAACTGAAACAGAAGTGAAGAAAGGTGTAAAAAAAGAGGTTG